GCAGGGAGGGCCCGCCCCGCTGCCCCTGTGCCTCCACACCCTGTCCACCCTCCCAGACCCCAGAATCCTCGCCCCTGGGGACTGCGGACCCCCTCCTCTAGAGCGGGCCAGGGCAGCGCGGGGCCAGCCTCCGAATCTAAACTGAAGCCCCCTCCCGTCGCTGCTGCCTTCCTGCGCGACAGTCTGACACCCCCACCTCTTGGGGCGATGGGTCCCTACAGCCCTTAGCGGGTGGGGTCGACCTAGCTACCTCTTGCCCCTTCCCCTTCCGGTGCCAGAAGAGAGGACCTCGGGTTGGGAACGCACTGCGGCCAGAGAGACCTATAAGGACCGTAAGGACCTGCCTCCCTACTCCCAAGGCACAAGGACGCGCTGCGTGAATTGGGAAGGTGACGCTGAGGGTCCCCGGGGGCTGGATGCCGCAGGTCTCAGGAGGTTTGAGGGCTGAGCAGGCGATGTGCTCGGTAGGAGGTGGGATAGGGGCCAGAATAGAATGCCCCGCTTGGGGACACATTTGGGATTGTTGTCTCTCGGTTTCCCGCAGCGTGGAGGGGCTGGGTCAGGATGGTTTTGGTGGTCCCACCGGGAAACGCCATCGGGGCCTGTGGGAGAAGGGCACCTGCCTGCCAGGCTGAAGTGGGCCTGACCGAGACCCCTGCCTGCTGCCTTAAAGGCACAGGTCCTGCGGCAGGGGTGGGAGGAGGGGGCCTCATCCTGTGAGTTGGGGCATCAGAAGGGGCCAGGGCTCCGATGGATGGAGCTAGATGCTCAGAAGGGAGCCCAGCAGAAGCTGATTCTATTTCACATGGAGCTGGGGAGTGGAGCCTGGCCCCTGGAAGGAGCTCAGGCCTCCTTTGGAAGGTGCTGGAGGGGGGTGCGAGGTGGGGGAGAGACCCCCCGCTAATGCTTCAGGCCATGTGCATGCTTTTCATGCAAGTGCGTCAGTTCCCCTTTCTCCACCTCCCCCAGCCTCACAGTGTCCCACCAAGCCCCCCTCTAAATAAACCCACTCACGCAAAAACAAAAATCCAGGCACGCATTTGGCTTTTCCTGTGAGCAGCCCTGTGTGGTGGGGGGCTGGTGAAGGGGGCTTGGGAGGGATGGGGCCACACACATCTGTGGAGAGCTACCTGCCTTGAGGCTGCCATTGGCCCAGGCGGAGAAGCATCCTGAAGGCCAGGCTAGAGGCATTTGAGTGGCTGTGGGCTTCAGAAGGGGATGAAACACTGTTTGAGCCTGGGGGGTGGGGTGGGGGTAGCAGCAGCACCCAGATTCTCCCAGGAGGCCCCAAGCTGAGTTGGGTGCTGGGTGCAGGTGGGTTGTGTTGGAAGAGCTCACACGTACAGATGAATCGGGCTCCTGATCCCCTCTGACCTTGGAGAGGGCAAGCAGAGGTGCCAGTCTGGACACAAGCCGCAATTTGAACGTCTAAATTAGAGACAGGCCCTGTGCCAGATCTGCCAACCAATCCATCAACAAGTGTGTGTGGGGTGACCAGGGAGGCGGCCCATCCCTTCCTCCCCCGCCATGGGCAATTCACCCGTGGTTCTGCGTCTGGGACAAGACCCAGGAGTCTGCCCCCCTGTTCACAATGAGGGGACATGGCTGTGGGGAGTCTCTGGAAGGACCCTTTTCTGCATTCTCAGGGCTAATCAGGCTAAAGATTGGCAGGGGGTTGACATTGGAGAAAGCTTCAGAACCCATTTTCTCTCCTGCGGCCACCCTCTCAGCCAGGCCCCTACGTTGGGATGCTCTCTGAATTTGTGTTGAATAAGCAAACACACAAAATGGGTATTTACAGTCAGCATATGGAACCAAGAGGCTAGGAAAGACAGGCGCTAAGGTGGCTTTCTTTCTGGGGATGTGGCCTCAGGTCTCCAGGTCATTGACCAAGGGCTGGCAGTGGCTAAGGGGAGGACAGACACCTGGTGCTGTCTGCCAGAGGGCAGAGCCAAGGCTCAGCGCAGTACCAGGAAGGCCACCCGGCATGACGCCTACACCTGCGTGACAGTGGGTTTCTTGTCTGGGAGGCGTGTGAACCGAAGTCCGGTGCCCCAGACAGGGCTGCCTCGGGGATTTTCTGCTCTGGGAGGGTAGAGGCCCTGGAAGCCTTGGCCACCTCTGAACAGAGGAATCTGAGTTCGGAGTCTGAACGGCTGGGCCTAGTGGTCCAGCTGCCAGGCAACACGCAGGCAGCAAATCAACTGCGATGTGTTTGTACCGAGCCCTGGATGCCGTCACAGGCACATGCCGTCACAGGCACATGGTGACAGCCACCCCCACAGTGACACACAAAGAGGGGGTGACACACAGCCGGGGAAGCATAAAGGCTTCCCGTGACACCGGCCAGAGAGCTGGGACAGAACATGTGACAGCAGAAAGACAAATGGACATTGGGGCACACACACTCAGATCTAGATGTACCTGGGACGCCGACGTTTGACCAAGGAAGGCCACAAGAATCCTCCTAATGCAAGCCCAGGTGCATGGGCACTGAATGCAGGAAGTGCATGTAGCATGAGACGAGGACAAGGGCTGGCGAGCTTTCTGCAAAGGGCCGGATTGTCTGTATTTTAGGCTTCACTGGCCACATACTGTCGCAGCCACTCAGTTCTTCGGTTGCAGCGTAGAAACAGCCACAGATAATATGGAAACAAATGGGCATCGCTGTGTTTGATGCGCTTATTTATGGACTGAGATTTTGAATTTCATAGTTTTCATGTGTCGTGAGACGGGAGTCTTTTCATTTTTTTCCTGACCATTTAAAACTGTAAGCATCATGCTTGGCTCACTGGCCGTCCAAAACTGGGTGACGGGCTGGATCTGACCCGCCGGAGGGGCTGCCAAGACCTGGGCTGGAAGGGAGAGGTGGTGTAAGAGGTTGAAGAACGGAGGGGCTGAGTGCTAAGGGCTGGAGCTGCCCTGGGGGGCTTGGGATGCCACCCTCCACTCAGCCTGGAGCTCAGAGGGCCCCTCTGTTTCGTGGGTCAGCGCCCGGAGAGGCTCCCCACCTGGCCTGAGCGCCCCACCCCAGACAGGCCTCCGCTATGTCCATGTGATGAATCTCCCACACTGAGAACCCCTGGATTCCACATTCAGGACTGAAAACAAATCAGCATCACGTCACTGGGGTTCACCAGAGCCTCCTTTCCCATTCACCCTGTGCCCAGGCTTGTGCCCGCCTCCACCAGGAGGGCGACCACAGGGAAACCTGTGTGCCTCCCTGGAAGGGGAGGGTGAGGTGCTGCTCTCCCACTATGGGGGCGCCCAGGAGGCTAAAGAATGCCTGGAAAGACACACTGGAAAGATATTAGAGCTTCTCCCGAGGGACCTGGACCAGCCGCTGGAGAGGGGGAGTGTCCCATCCCAGGAGCTGAGCCCTCTGCAGCTGCGGTGCTGTAGAAAGAGTGCTGCAGGGGTTGGGGTGGTGGGGGGGCGGCTGGAGGGTCTCTGAGGAAAGTGGGGAGCCCAGTGAGTCACCGCTGGCCCGGTGTGCTGACTGATGACGCTGTTTTCGCTTGTGTCTGGCAAAGTGGCTCATCCGAGGGCTCGGCTGCTCTTGTCAGTTCCCATCCAGGTCTGGCTGTGCTGACGGGGCCTGAGGAGGGCAGGCCTTCCCGAATCTGGATGGGGGAGCGGACTCCCTTCCAGCCCAGATATCTGTCACACACCCGTTCCTGCCAGGCCGGGGCCACGCTCTGCACTGGGTGACTTTGGGGAGTGTCGCCCCCTCTCTAGTCTGTTTCCCCACAGGTAACTCAGTACCACTGGGAGGTGGCTTTTAAAGTCCATTTGAGGTCTGAAATGCTGTGCTTATAGTTGCAGCTTCCTAAGGAGAGAAGTAAGGGCAGGGGACAGCAGAAGGCCTGACCAGTCCCCGAGGGCGTGAGAAGGGTCACTCATGGGCTATCAGTGGGTTTTGAGCTGATCTCTCAGCAGAGGCAGAGGCTGGCAGGAACGTAGGGATGGAGTGCACAACCTTTGGAGCCAGGTGGCTTGGGTTCACTTCCCAGCTCTACCACGTATTTGCTGTGTGACCTTAGGGAAGTTGTGTAGCCTCTCTGTGCCTCAGTGACCCCAGCTATCACGTGAGTGAGGACAATGCTAGTAACTACTTCACAGGTTTGAGTAGGTGAAATGAGTTAATGCGTATTTATTGCTTGGAAGCGTGCCTGACACATACTGAATGTTTAATAAATGTTAGTCATTAGTAAAGAAAGGTGCAGCTGGCCTGCTATTTCCATTTTGAATGTTACACGGGGCTATGGGGATAGAGGTGTCAGCAAGATAGTGCAAGACCCTGAACACAAGTGGTAAGAGAATAATAATAGTTAACATATGTGTAGTCCTTACTGGGAGCCAGGCTAATACTGTATAAATTTGTTGGTATCTCACAGCAATATCTATGAGGTAGATATTACTGTTATTCCCATTTTACAGATAATTCAATTGAAGCGCAGAAGAGCTAGGTGTCTTGTCCCTAAGTCCACCACAGTAAATGTCAGGAGATAGGGTTTCTTGTCCTCAGATCAGGTGCTAAATTGCCCCAGCAGAGCCTGGACCCCAGAGCGAGCCTGGGAAGATCGGTAACCAGGCCATCCTGACCACTTGTGTGGCTGGGCCAAACGGCCCAGGTCCACCCTGAAGGAGGGGAGAGTCCCACCCCAGGCTACAGTAGCCGGGCCCTGCCCTGTGAGGGGGTCGCTGGCAGCTGGGGAGAGTCAGAGGAGGGAGGCAGCCAGGACGAGGAGGGGCAGCCGCTGGCAGGGCTGTGGCTGGCAGACCCAGGGTTGCATCTACAGGGCAGAAGAGCCATTCGCATGGCCCAGGGGAGTACCAGGTTTGGGGCAGGTGGTCTAATATTGTAAACTCTGAGAGCTGTCCAGCAAGGGTGCTGGGGGGGGGGGCAGAGGAGGTCACCGTCTTAGAGAGGCTGCAGGAGGTGACCCTTGAGGTCCCCAGTGGAGGTGGGGGGGGGGGGGGAAGACCAGGGCTTGGGAGCTTCCGGGGTCTCTTGCTGGTGTGTCCGCATCCGGTTGGGCAGGGGTGGATGTAGTGGGGGAGGGTGAATACGTGAGGAGAGCAGTGGGCTAAGGGAATCAGTCATGAATGTTGGCATCACAAGGAAAAAATTGGGTAACTAGGTGATGGATGTTTACCAGACTTATGTGGCCATCACTTGCAATATATAGCTATTGAATCATTATGTTGGATGCCTGAAGCTAATATAATGTTCCATATCAATTACATCTCAATAAAAGAAAGAGAGAGAGGACAATAGTGGGAATCGGGAACCTGGCCAGGCCTAGTTCCACAGGCGGCTCGTGTTGAGCGGATCCTACCCGTCCACCCTATGTCCCTGGGCTTGGACAGCCCGGTGACAAAGCAGGGCACTGGGGGATAGTGGGTCTCCAGCGTGTGTTCAGTCCACTGCAGTGGTGGCCGTGGAGCTGCTCTGCCGGGAGCGGGGTGAGCACCTGCCTGTCCGCCTCCCCGCGTGAACATATGTGTGTGCACGCGCACAGGCCTGGAGTGCGTATGTCTGCGTGTGTCCCTCCTGCATCAGAATCCAGACAGATCTCGTTGCCTCTACCTAGCTGAGTGCCTTTGCGCAATGAGTGTGTGTAAGTGCGTTATGATATGTGTCACGAGGCTGATAAACATACCGGTGTGACTGCATCTGCACACATCTTTGTTCTCGGTTGGGTGAGCGTGCTTCTGCATTGCTGGGAAGGAGTGTGTGTGTGTGTGTGTGTGTGTGTGTGTGTGAGTGGTGGTCTGTCAGCCCCTGAAGGCATCTCCTCCTCTCCTCCTTTGTGTATTCCACACAGGGCTGTTTGTATTTTGTATTGATGCTTTCAAGTGGGTGCCCTGGGGATAAATGTCTTTATGATCTTCTCTGTGGACCTATGTCTGTGTGTCTCTGTGTGTGTGTGTGTGTGTGTGTGTGTGTGTGTGTGTGTGAGAGAGAGAGAGAGAGAGAGAGAGGAGGGGGGGAATCGGGCATCAGCCAGTCTTCAATAGACTAACCCCTTGCTTGCTGGCTGCCACCTGCTTGCCTGTAGAACAACCAGAGCCAAGGAAGCCACTGTCCTTTCGGGGCTAGCAGTCTTGGTGCTGATGGAGGTTAAACAGGTTCGTGGTTCTGCTCTACGTGAGAGTGAGAGTCGCCTGGAGAGCTTTAATCAGCCCTAAGGCCCGTCCCGGCCCTAGAGCACCCGCTCAGTTGGGCAGGGGTATTTTAAACACACCTCAGTGGTTGAGGGGGCGGGCAGCCCAGGTTGAGCGCAGGGATAATAGGTTAGAGTGCATTTTGGGACCAGAGTCGGCCCTGGCTGCTGGCCTCCGGGCCAGAGGGGCTGGCAGAGGTCCTGGAGGCCTTGTCTTGGGTGGAGGCCTCCCTGACTTTGCACATCACCATCCTTTGGCCTACGTGCCTGAGAGTCAGCTCCACATCTCAGAGACCTCTGCCTGTGGTTCTCCTCGGAGCCCTCTGCTGGCGGGGAGAGCCGGCCTCCTGCATCTGCTGAGGGTGGGCAGGCATTCCCATGGTCCCGCCAGGCATGTCGGACAGGGCCTGGAGCTCCCCAGGGATAGTGGAGGTGACCCAGCCTCCGGGGACTGCTCGTGCCAGGTCATCCAGAGGCAGCCTGTGACAGCAGGGATGGGAGAGCCCTGTACACAGCTGGCACCCAGAGTGCTGGCCAGGGACTGCCCAGCCCAGGTAGCTTTTCCTGAACCACAGGGCAGAGGCTGGGCCAGCATCCCCATGGCCACTGGGCTTCTCAGAGCATCTCTTGGGGGGTACAGAGGCCGCCTTCAGCATCTCTGAGTGGGCCCTAAGCAGGCAGAGCAGCAGGGGGCTAAGATGGGCCCCTTTCATGGAGCCTGCCTGTGGCTCTTTTTCTTTCACTGCTTTGGGTGCTTGTTTGTCCCCCAATTTAGCTTGGAGGGCTGAGGGCAGCTTGGAGTGGCAAGAGAGAGAGGGAGGGAGGCATGGATGGGCAGAGAGCCTGGGCACAACGGCCCTAGGGTAACGGCAGCTCTGCCCGCTGGTGGGGGTGTGCAAGGCTAGTGGTCCGAATGTAGTGCCCGTGGGCCTCCCGAGCCAGGCACCTGTGGGAGTCCCAGAATAATAATAGTTAACATATGTGTAGTCCTTACTGGGAGCCAGGCTAATACTGTGTGCCTGAGTAGACTGGCGGGGAGGATGTGGTATCCCAGCACCTCAGACCCTGACACGGGTCTCCTCAATCACTCTGTAATTGAATAGTAATAAACATACATTTTAATGACTGAGTCGTATTGCATTGTATGGCTGTGCCGGGCCTGTGAACAGTGCCTGCGGGATGGGATGGAGGCCTTGTGGCCCATGCTTTGTGTGGATGCTGTTGTAAATGGTGCCAATTTCTGTTCAAGTGCAAAGGTTTCTCCAGGAGAGACTTCCAGGTTCGGGGCTCCTGGGTGGATGGGACTATGTGCTAACGATCAGTTTTCAAGGCGACCAGACTCATGCCCTGCGACTGTGCGGGCCTCCCCAGCCTCTTCACTGGACTCCCCACACACTGTCGGCCTCAGTCCTGGAGGACCCGGCGCCCCTGAGCGCGGAGGCCCAGCTCCCTCGGCAGCCACTTTGTTGTGCGTGTCGGAGGTGAGGGCTCTGGCCTGGAGGCCCAGCGGGCGGAGGCCGGTGCAGGAGGCTGTGGGGCTAGGGGACCAGCTCGGCAGCTGGAACCAAGTGGCCTTCCGTGAGTGAGCAGGTTAGAGGTGCGCTCCTGTCTCACGTAGCAGCCTGGAGCTGGGGTGGCCCCGCTCCACGAGCTCCCTCAGGCATCCTGGTTCCCCCTGGAGTGTTGCCCCCACCGCTCAGGGGTCATCCTGGCTGCCCTGTCAGAGCGGGTGGGTCCGGCATTGGGAAGAGCGTAGGAGCAGGAGGACAGCGTGTGATGCTGTAAGGACATGTGGACATGTCACTGCCGCCCCTTCCATAGGTGGGAACTTTCACATGCCCTCACCTGAGCAAGAGGGACAGGCGGGCACACGCGTGACAGCTAAAGCTGTCGTGGAGGGAGATGGGGGAGGCAGCCGCCTGCCGCAGAGGAGAAGGCCACCCACACCACCCAGTGGTCCACTGGGGGCCTGCCCGGTGTGCTCCCACCGTGTCCTCTGTGCCTCGCAGATGTGGGTGCTCAGCAGGCGGTTGTGGGACAGAGAATGAAGAACAGCATGGACGAAGGCATGAGGGGTTCCCTGTGGAGGCTGAGAGCCTTGTCGCGGGAAGGGGAGGCATGGCGGGGGGGAGAGCAGGCTGTCCTGCAGGACTCATGCCTTTCCTCTCTCTTGAACCCTAGGCACCTTGGGCTGACCAGCGGCTGCTCTGAGTGGGAGGTGAGTGGTGCTGGCCTGAGCCTCCTTGTGGCTGAGAAGCACCATGGCCAGCATCGTATGGGCCTCCCTGGCTGCTCTCCTGCTGCTGCCTCTGGTAAGGCCCCAGGTCCATACCCTGTCCCCTCTCCCCCCACCAGCTGGAGCCCCCAGCTCACCTGAGCCCCCACCCCAGAGAACCCTGTCTTTGGCCTGCCCTCAGCTGGTATCTCTGCTGGCACCCCCACTGGACCATCCAGCACTTTTGTGAATTAGAAAGGGTGTCCCATCCTCAAGGCCTTCAACTGACTTGGCTAGAAATCCTTACACAGTTTAGGAATGTAACGCGATGCTGACGTGAGGCAGTCTCAGCGCTGTGCATCCTGCGCACTGCAGGGCCCCGGCCGGGCTGCAGGTGGCTCTTTGACCCCAGGCCCCTGCTCACCAGTCTGCCAGGTCAGGGCTCAGGAGCCTGTTCTCTGCTCATGTCTCTCCCAGAGCGAGGGCAGTGGGGAGGGTTCCAGGCCCTGGTCCCCGCCCCGAGCTGGGACTTCACACCAGCAGTGGCTCTAGCTCTCTCCGAGATCTGGATCCGAGCCCCGCCTCTGCCCTGCCTCACCGTGTGGCCACAGACAGCCTGTCCCCCGCCCTGGAAGCCGTCTGCACCTCTGTGAACAGTCGGGGCTAGACCGAGCATGGGAGTCCTGGATGTGCCTGCCTCCGTGCTCCCGACATCCCCCTACAGAACCGCTCCTGCCCCCGAATTTTGAGTTAGTGGCGACAGCAATGCCAGGGCTTTGAAGTTACTTGCTCCTGCGCTTGAATCCAGCATCTGCCACTAACCAGCTGTGCGACCTTGGGCAGGAGTTTTCTTAACTTCTCTGAGCCTCAGTTTCCTCTTCTGTAAAATGGGGCAAGAGTAAATGGGAGTGGTTCACAGGCCCACTGAATGCTGCCACTGCTCCCTCGCCTGCACCTCCTTCCCCAGCCCCCAGAGGAGAGAGACAATGAGCCATCAGCCCCTCCTCTCCCCCAGCCCCTGCTGGCTCCCCTAAAGTGTAGCAGTAGCCTTGTGGCTTCTGGGGCTACACTGTCTGGGGCCGAATCCTGGCTGTATAGTCTACTACGCTGTGTGGCTTTGAGCAAGTTACTTAACATCTCTGGGCTTAAGTTTCACATGTGTAAAATGAAAAATGGCAAAAATACTACCTACCTTGTAGTCCTCTGGATATATATGTATACACATATAGCATATGACAGAATAGAGTATGAAGGTCATAAAGTGCTATATCTGTGTTTGCTGCTGTTTTTATAAGACTTGGAAACTGAGGCCTAGGGTCAGGGTGGGATCTACCCAAGGCCTCACTTTGAGTTGGTAAAGAAGAACCTCATGGTGTCTGTGACAGAGTGGATGTCAGGGTCCCTGCTGGCCCTGAAGTTTCTGTCATTATCCCCATCCTGCTTCTGCCCCTCCCCCCCAGCCCCAGGGCTTATAGTGAGCCTTGCTGCTCCCTCCCACCATCCCTCCTGTTCCCTGCAGATGGCCGCCATGCACTCTGACTGCATGTTCAAGCAGGAGCAGGTCCTGTGCCTGGAGAAGATCCGGAAGGCCAACGAGCTGATGGGCTTGAACGCCTCCTCCCATGGTGAGTAGGCTGGCGGGGAGGACATGGTATCCCAGCACATCCATAGCCATTAAAACTGGTGCCCCAGCCTGCGGCCACCTTGGGAAGAAAGTGGAAGGGGACGGTCCCCGGGTCTTTCAGAGAGCCCTGTGGGGCAGTGGAGTCCTGGATGTGCTCTGGGCAGCGACACTGGGTTGCCCTCGTTGGGGACAGCCTGCCCTGGATGCCTCCCTGTGGGAGGGCTGTTCTGAGTGGCTGGGTGTGGCTACCTTGGATCCCAGGGGGCTGGGCTAGAGCTGGGTCTGGCTGTCAGAGAGCTCGTTAGCAGGCGGCCTGGGCCTGGCAGCAGCAGGGACACAGCTGTTGCAGGTGCCCGAGCTGGAGAGCAGGTGGGCAACCCCAAGCAGGAGGTGTGGGGCCCTTTCCACCTCCTCTGCTCACTCCACCAGAAGCCAGAGATGAGGCAGCAGCAGTAACCCACCTGGGCCTGTCTGGGCAGTACTCCTCCCGGAGCTGCTCTCAGCCTGGGGCGGGGTGCTGCCTCTTCTGCGGGAGTGGCCACGCACTGCAGGACAGTTAGCAGCCATTGTTTCCCCATCAGATGCCATGGCTCCCCCGATCCCAGTGACAACCTGGAATGCCTCGTAGCATTTCCAGATGTTCCGGGCAGTGGTGTGGCCCTGGCTGAGAACCAGGGGTCCTGTGTGGCCCCCTCCTCCTAACTCCCTCGCTGTGCAGAGAGGACGCTGAGGCCCACAGGGAAAGGGCACCCTGGACTTCCTGACCCCCAGCAACCAGAGAGAGGGTCTGTGTGGGAAGCCAGGGACTTGGGGGTGGGGGCATCCCTGGAGGCCTGGCCAGCCTCACTTACACCTCTGTCGCTGGAGGGCAGGGCTCTCTGCCCAGATGAGAAGGATCCACCTCTCCCTCCGGATCCTCTCTGCTTATAGGGAGCTCTTCTGAGCACTATCTGCTTAAATACTCGATTAATCTGCAGCCCAGTTATGTGTAACGGTCCCTCCAGGCCAAGCTCCCTGGCCAGACAGTGAACATTAACTGCTAATAGAGCTGCTCCGGCCATGCTGGACTCACTTGCCCTCCAGCCGAGCTCTGGCTCAGCCCTAACTGAGGCTGGAAGTGGATTCTAGGCCTCACCAGCCAGGGAAACTGAGGCAGGGGCCCCAAACAGGTGCCCAGTTGCAGGAGACCAAACTGGTATCTGGCCCAAGGCTCTGGTCTAGGAGCTGGGAAATGGGGCCATGAGGTGGACCTGGAGCCCAGGTGTCCTGCCTCCTAGCCCAGGGCCGCTGTTCCTGCATCACAGGTGTCAGGGGCATGTGGGGTGGGGCATAAGAAGCATCCAGGAGGAAAGGGTAGAGGTGGGAGGCGGGGCTATTGCACAGATGTTTGTGGAGCCCCAGCTGGGGGAGGACAAGCAGGCTAGCCCACAGGGGTGATGTGAGCGTGAGACAGAGGTGAGGATGGACACCCTCCCAGGAGCGGGCAGGCCAGTGCTGGGAGAGGCTGCACCCCAGGTGTGCTCAGGAGAGGAAGAGAGGAATTCTGGGAGGGTTCATGGACAAGATGGTATTTATACTAGGTCCATGGTTCTCAAACCTGGCTGCACATCAGAATCTCCAGGAGCTTTTAGAAGAATGTGCTCACGCTACAGTCCAAACCAGAACAGCAGTCCCTCACAGTCACCGTGACTTTAAAGGCTCCGAGGCGACGCTGGCAAGAAGCTGGTCTGAGAAACCCCGAGTTAGGCCCTAGGGACCAGTAGGCCCTTGACGGCAGGTGAGAGCTGAGGGCGAGTGAGTGGGGAGAACATCCTCGGTGGGGGCACCACAGCAGCAAGAGCTCTGTGCCTCAGAAGCTCCACTACTAAAACGAGCAGGTGGGACGAACCTTATCAATAGCCAATACTTACATAGGTTTTCCATGTGCCAGGCACTGTACTAGTGCTTTTTCTCCCACTGCAGCAACCTGGAGGGTAGGCTCTACTATTACCCCATCTTATAGATGAGGACACGGAGGCACCTGCACCTCTTAAATCCTTGTCCCTCCCAGGACCTCCACCCCCCCAGAGAACACCGGGTGATAACGTGCATTGTGGCCTCCAGAGGGAAGCTGAGGGACAGGGACACGCTGGGGGAGGCATGGGAGCTGAGCAGGCAGGTGAAGGAGGAGGATGCGTCGGCAAGGTGGTGGAGGGCGAAAGCAAGCCCTCTGCCCGGCCCTTCTGTCTGCATCAGCCTCTGCATGTTCTCAAGATGTTTATTGGGACTGTTATTGAAGAGTTGTGTTTAGTGCTTTTGTCCCTCATTCCAAACCTCTGAATGCTAAGTGGGACTCAAGGCAACACGGAGTCCAGCTCTGTCACGTGACACTCAGAGAGGCTGAGGCCAGAGGTGGCAGTCCCTGGCCAAGTTACACCGAGGGCCCGAGCCAGCTCGGGGACAGGCCCCAGGTCTGGGGCCCCTGCCAGGGGTGCCCTTTGTGCTGCAGTGCCCTAAGCCAGAGAGAAGGAAAAAGGGCCCCTGGGTGTGGGAACCTGACTCTCCACTCCTGAGGGTCCCAGACCCACGCAGGTCACAGGCCCTGCCTGCTGGGCGGGCCTGTTTGCTCTCTGCTCCGCCCAGGCAGCCTGGCTGTCCCGTGTGAGTCTGGCCAGAGCCTCCCCTTTGCAGGGTTGCAGGCTTCCGTCAGCCTGGAGGCCTGGCCTGCATTTCAGCAGGGCCGGTCAGGTGTGGTCCTCGGGGGTCCCCAGACTCTGGAGGAGATGGAAGAGGGACGCCTGCAGCGGCCCTGGCAGGGGCAGAGGACGGAGACTTGTACAGAAGACGAAAGCCTGCTCATTGCTCTTCTGACCCGGCCTCTGAGGCCAGTCCAGGGTGCACAGTGCCTGGTCCCAGCCACTCCCCCCACTGCCCCGCCCCCACCAGAAGAGGAGAGGCCTGGAGGAGGGAACCACCTCAGGGCTGGGCCCAGGCTCCCATCCTGGGAGCAGAATCAGCCTCTTGCCTGCACCTCCCAGCTGCTGTGAGACTAAACAGGCGCCCAGCATGGGGGAGGAATGGGGTCTGCAGGGACCCCTCGCTCCCCAAATCTGACTGATCCTGCGTCAGAATCTTCTGGAACACTTGTTAAAACACAGATGGCTAGGCCTAGCACCAGAGTTTCTGACTCAGTGGGTCTGGAGGGGCCTGGGCATCTGCATTTCTGGCGAGTTCCCAGTGGAGTTCCTGGTCTGGGGTCCACACTTTGAGAACCAGTGAGCTCGAGGGGAAAAATAACTTTCAGTAAATGGAAATCATGCTTTCCCCTCGAACTGTATGCTAAAATGGGGGCTTAGTATACGCATGCATCCTCGGCGGCTTCTTAAAGGGACGACTGTGCCTTGTCTGAGTCCCTGCGGTGCCTCTGCTCTCGCGGCTTTGAACACACTGTGGAACTGGACAGGATCGTCACCATGACAACCCGAGATGAGCGCCTCATTCTGTTCCAATTGAGGCTAATGGCTCCCGCGTCCTCTCTGTTCAGCCTGCCCGAGTGGTCTTTCCTCCCGCTGTTGTCACGAGGCGCTGCTGCTCCTTGCTGCTTTGTGTGGGTGGCTTAGTGGGAGCAGCCCGGGAGATGGGACCTCTCCCATCACACAGGCATCTCCCCCCCATCCCCCACTTCCCGCCTGAATTCCTCTGACCAAGTTCCATAGAGGCTGGGGGGGGAGGGAAAGAGGCAGAGCCAGGAGGGCACAGGCAGCCAGTGTAGAGTTGGGCTACAGCAGGAGAGGAATAGGGAGGTGGGGTGTCCCCGTGGAGAGTCCTCCAGGGCCCAGAGCAGTTCCAATTCCCGACCTGCTCTGCAGGGGCGAGGAGAGGAGGGAACGTTCTCAGCCTCTCAGCAGTGGCTGATGCACTGGACCGTCGCCGCCTGGAAGCACGCGTTCCTGGCTGCTGTCACTAACCTCTCCTGGTTTCCTCCTGCCTCTGGCCTCCCCTCCTCAGTCTCCTCTGCCAGCTGCTCTTCTGCTGTTGGCATGCCTTCTTTTGTTGGGGCCAGGCGCTCTTCTCTCTTCTTCTTCTCAAATCTAGGCCTTCTCATGAGACAGATCAGCCAGGTCCATGGCCCCACCGAGCATCCCTGTGCTGACCACCCCCTCTTCTTCCTCCATTTCCGACTTCCCCCCCTGCACTCCAGACCTTCATCTCACTGCCTGTTGGAAATCTTGGCAGATGTGCCTTGGGAGACACTTGTCCTGGCAGTGGGGCCAGAGAGGCGCCCCGGCTTCTGGGCGTTGGCAGATCTCGAGTGAAATCTCTGTTCCTGATTGGAGCTCTAGTCGCTCAGAGTTGGGAGCACCCTCAGAGACACCCAGCCCTCAGTGTGCACGCAGGGAAACTGAGGCAGGGTGGAGGGGTAGAGACTTGCCAGAGTCATGCAGTGAGCCCTGGGCTGCAGTAGACAGAACTCCAGTCTCGTGGCTGACGTGCAGAGCTGAGGGACACCCTGCCCTCTCCCACTCTCGGCCCTCAAATGCAAACTTCCCAAGTGTTATCTCCACCTCTGTAGCCCTGGCACATGGCAGGAGCTCAGAAAATAGCTAAGAGAATGAATCGCCTGCCCTGCCTCCAGGCCTGGGACCCCCACCCTGTGAGCCCCTTCTCCCCTGTGCCATCCTCACCCGAGCCCTGCGCCCCTCACCGCCCCGCCGTCCTTGTGACTGCTCGCCTCCATCTGAAGTGCCCCAGGGCCTCAGGAGCGTCAGCTGGCAGTGGCAGCTGGCTGTGCCAGGGCCCGCTGTTCCACGATAAGGGAACATCTGTTAACGGGGCACCTGGGACATGGGCTGGATGTTCGATGTGACCATACTCCGTGACTGTTCCCGGCCAGCAAGGGCCCTGCAGCCCACACTGAGCTGCTGGGTCCCCTTTCAAGTACCGGATGTCACAACCAGGCGTGTGCAGCTGGAGCCCTGCTGGGGTGGGCGATGGGAACCATCAATGGCTGGCCTGCTGCTGTGAGACCTGGGACACGGTTCCTCGCATGTGGCCCCTTGCCATCTTGGTTTGTGGTCCTCAGAGCTTTCTTTCTTTCTTATTTTCTTTTTAAAAAAAATATGCTTTTATTGATTTTGATAGAAAGGAAGGGAGAGAGGGAGAGAGAGAGAAACATCATGTGAGAGTGAAACGTCGATCAGCTGCCTCCTGTATGTTCCCTACCAGGGATTGAGCCAGAAACCCTGCAACCCGGGCATATGCCCTGACTGGGAATCAAACTGGTGACCCTCTGGTGCCTGAGACAATGCCCAACCAACTGAGCCACACCAGCCAGAGCCCTCTGAGCTTTCGATGGTGTTTCCAGCTCCCAGACTTGGTCATTCCAGGAGTAGGATGCTATACGTTACTGAGATGGGGGATGAATTCCAAAATAGCCAGGTGTCAATTCTGAGAGACAGACCACTTCTGGTCCACACAGCACCCAACAGCTCATGAGGCCGGCCCAGGCCCCTCTCTGCCCAGGCTGCCTCTGTGACCTGTCGGCCCTCCGCTGGCCTTCTCCCCTTCCCTTCTCCCTTTGCAGGCCTCTCTCCAGGGAATGATTCCAGGGACACCTAATTGACGTGAAGTTATTGATGATAACAGTAGGGGGCATGCAAGGAGTGAGCTTGGCGCTCTGCTGGGTAATGAGTGTGAACTCATTACTCCTCCCAGCAGCCCCGGGGGTGGGGAGTGTGTGTG